TATATATATATATATATATATATTTGGATGCGCTGTTTTTTTTTTCTCCTTAATCCATTGCCGAGGTATTGGATCAGAACTCTGTATCAGCATATTGACTCGGACTAGGGTGCAAAAACGTGATCCGGACATCCCCACTCGTAAGTAAAATTAATATAATCAGCTGTCTGTAAATCTGACAGTATTATTGTCTCATTCTATCATGAACGTGAATACAATATGCTTGGATCCTTGCTAGAAAACATGTTTTTACTCCCATTTGTGGTTTTGCTTTATGCATCAATCTTAATTCAATATGTCACGTAAAAAAACGACTTCTTCCAAAAAAGAGATCATAAAACAGTGTCTCAGTTCGATCCAGCAGTCTAGAGTTCATAGAAGTGGGCCTGGTTGGAAAAAAATGTTGGTGTAGATCAGACAAGGATTTTCCTTTACCTTGAATAAACGTGATGTCTTCCTGAAGCCCAAATAAAAAAATCTATGTCTATCGAGACACTCTACTTGCATTTGTTACGTCACATCCCCGTGCTACAAACCTGCCTCCTTCAAACACACTTTTGAAAAAATATTTTTTTTAGCCACGTTGAGGCTCTCTCGCACAGCTGTGATTTTAGTCTGGCTTTTAGTTCAGTTTGGTTAGCAAAATTGGCTTTGGTTAGCAAAATTGGCTTTGGTTGCAAGTAGTATTTTAACACCAACACTGCACAAAAATACTGTCGTTATTTCTTGAAGGGTAAAATGTGTTCACTTTCCTGCCTTTTACTGCCTTACTTATTGAAAGACTGATCAACTTCCATTTTGTGACTGAATATAATCAATGCACATGTAACAGAATCAACATGCATTGTGGGGGTTGACACAAGCTCCATTGTCAGTGATTGGGGCATCTGGAATGTTTCAGAGTTTAATTATTTTTGCGTGTCAGTATAAAAAAAGGGATGGTTTTGACATTGCTTCCATCTTTTACGTGAACGTTTTCAACAAGGTTTACAGTTTCAAAGGTTTTTGCACTAGGTCGTTTTGCGAGGTAACTGTGCCCTCAGTTGTGTCAATGGTCAAGTGTGAGAATAATTAACAGTTGAAACATAGTTTGATCAGCTGCTTTTAGTTTGGGCATCTAAATAGATTTGTTATTTACTTTACCGAACATTGTCAAACACTGTAAACAAATACGAAACCATAATTTTTTTCCTCTTTATTATTTTAACCTTGCAGTCATGTAATAATGTGTAATACTGTATACTGTATATCTGAGAGAGAGCTGTATAATACATTCATTCAGTGTACACCCTAATTCCTCCGTATTGGCAGCAGGCAGTTTGTGACTGCTTGTGCACAAAGGCGTACAAGTGGTGCTGTGGACTCTGTTTGCCCATCCCCCATTCCTACAAATGTCTGTCTGCTTCGTTTGCTCGCCCATACTACAGTGCTCCCTAAGTCACTCCAATGCATCAATGCAGGCTGGTGAATTGCCTCTTGTCTGCGTGTAACTGCATGATTTATGCACTAACCAATTCATGTTCATGCTGAATTCTTTTCACTTTTTGTTTTGCAACGTTGTAGCGATGGCAATGTTTTAAGTGGCTGATAAGATTTCTTGTGTGGGGCTCATTTTTTGTTCCCCCGCCCTTTTCATTGAATGTTTGCAGAACATTTGGTGCAAATAGCACATGAGATGCCTTCCTCTAAAACAGTGAAGTAATACCACACAATCGTGTCATGTTTCTTGAGTGTGAGGTCAATGCTTAATTTGGTCACAGAAAAATCCCACACAATTTACATTATGTTTGTCCTGCACAAGCTCAGAGGAGAAGAGTTTATTTTAGGCTGTATTCAATGGAAAGGAGCCCACCAAAAACAAAGGAGAGCTGCATTGAATTTTCATCTTCATTCTTGGATTTTTCTTCTTTCTATTTGAGCCTTTTTTTTAAGTGTTATTTACGTAATTTATTCATAGGAAGTCATCATTCCTAATATCGGCCAGATAATTGTGTATCCCTATTTACAAAACCTACTTTTTATTTATTTATTTATTTAAAAAAAAATGTATGTATATATATATATATTTTTTTTTTATGCATTTGTACAGAATGCCCCCCAAACCCAATCCTGGCAGTTTGGAGTTTAAGCGCTCAAATAAATTCCGTCTCACGTTTTGTCACTATTACGATGCTGCACAGATGGTGGTGAAAACCTACATGGACATGGATCAAGATTCCGAAGAGGAGAGTATATATATATATATTTTTTTTTTATGCATTTGTACAGAATGCCCCCCAAACCCAATCCTGGCAGTTTGGAGTTTAAGCGCTCAAATAAATTCCGTCTCACGTTTTGTCACTATTACGATGCTGCACAGATGGTGGTGAAAACCTACATGGACATGGATCAAGATTCCGAAGAGGAGAAGCAGCAGTATCTTGGTCTAGCACTCCACCTTGCCTCAGAGTTCTTCCTCAGGAACCCCAATAAAGATGTGCGGCTGCTCGTCGCCTGCTGTCTGGCTGACATCTTCAGGATCTATGCCCCCGAGGCCCCCTACACCTCACATGACAAACTCAAGGCGAGGAGCCTGCTTTTGACAGTGGTTATAATCTTGCACACTACAATGAGAATCTTTGGGGACATTTTGGCTGAACAAGTGATTTGTGGTTCTGTCTGCAGGACATCTTCCTCTTTATCACCAGACAGTTAAAGGGACTGGAAGACACCAAGAGCCCTCAGTTTAACAGATATTTTTATCTTCTGGAGGTGATACTCAGATTTGTTATTTAAAATACGCACAGACTAAATAATGCACAAATGTTTCAATAGAGTGTTTATGGATTTCTTCTCTCTTCTTGTAGAATTTGGCATGGGTTAAATCATATAACATATGCTTTGAACTTGAAGACTGTAATGAGATCTTCACCCAGCTTTTCAAAACCCTCTTCTCTGTGATCAAGTAAGACCTCTATTGATTCATAATATTCAACACATGTTTTGAGTTGTCATTTTTGCTTTTGTTTATTTTTGCTACAGTGAGAGCAGAACAGAATACAGTGTGAATGCTTGCTTGAAGTTAGTCAGGGCCCAAACATGCGACCAAGGATATAGATTTTATACAATGATGACCGATGGATGTCCTGATAGAATGAAATACTTAATCCTGTGAGCCAATGACCTGTTTAATGTTCCTTTTAAAATAACAAAGAATCAGATAAGATAAATTTAATAATAATAATTTCTGTAATGCTTTTAACTTGGGAGATTTTTTTGTGTAGCCATGTTGAATAAAAGAAACTACAATTATGCAATTAGTCACTTTCACGGGAAAGTCAACTATTGGTGGAAATCTGCTATTTGCAGTCAAGCTCAACCCCTATTCCCTACCAATACGTGGGTTAACTGTGCTGACTGAACGCTATGTTAAAACTTATGAATAATTTCAAAGACAATTTATTTGTGGTCCACCCACCCGTGTGTGTCTTCCTCTTTCCTTCTGGCAGCAACAGCCACAATCAGAAAGTGCAGATGCACATGATGGACCTGATGTGTTCTATCATCCTGGAGGGAGATGGAGTCACACAGGAACTGTTGGATAGCATCCTTATTAACCTCATCCCTGCACACAAGGTGAGAAGTTACACTTGAAATGCTTTTTCAATATTTCAATGTCTTCATTCATTCAAGTCATTTGGGATTTATTCAATAAGCAGAAGCAAAAGGCAATGTTGCATAATTTTCACCACTATGTTCACTTTTTTTTTTGTACAGAATCTAAACAAACAAGCATATGATCTTGCAAAGACTATCCTGAAGAGAACCGTCCAGACCATAGAAACGTGCATTGCAAATGTATGTGGCTGCATGTATACTTAATCTTGGTTATTTTGGCTATCAACCTCGTAGCGTTTATTTTTTTCTTCTGGTCTTGTTAAATAAATGTCTTTTAATGTTTTGTTTTTTCTTCAGTTCTTTAATCAGGTTCTCGTGATGGGTAAATCCTCTGTCAGTGACCTGTCGGAGCATGTTTTTGACCTCATCCAAGAGCTCTTTGCAATTGATCCTTTGCTGCTTACCTCTGTTATGCCACAGCTGGAATTCAAACTCAAGGTTACTGGCCCAGACCCATGCACACACACTCGCTATTAACTTTACACTTCACAAGTTCACTCTGATTAATTTATCATTTTTTTCTATTGTCTAGTACAGGGGTGGGCAATCCTAGTCCTGGAGGGCCGCTATCCTGCATGTTTTCCATCTGTCCCTTCTCCAACACACCTGATTCAAATGATCAGATCATCAGCAAGCTTTGTCGAGGCCTGAACAATTGAATCAGGTGTGTTGCAACAGGGACGGATGGAAAACATGCAGGATAGCGGCCCTCCAGGACTGGGATTGCCCACCCCTGGTCTAGTAATATACTTTATTTATGCATATACAGTATAGATAAAGTATGAAAAAATGTAACCCACCATACATGTTTTTGTTGTTTGCAGAGCAATGACGGAGAAGAGCGTTTGGCTGTTGTACGCTTGCTAGCTAAATTGTTTGGGGCCAAAGACTCCGAACTGGCCTCACATAACAGACCTCTGTGGCAGTGCTTCTTAGGCCGGTGAGTTGTGTGGAACCTATGCAGCCGCTGAACTGCTTCTAGTTGAGAATGTAAATTAAAATGCTGTAATTTAATGCATTTGAGTCATAGTTTGAGGTACATTGTAATACTGTATACAGGTTTATGCAATCTGGTGCCACAGAGAGCTGAGGAATCTCCCCCCAATTGTCCATTAATGGGCATTCTAAGTGCTTGTATAAGTACCTACATAGGGGCTCTGCAAAATGCTGGGTAGCCTAAGGAGCAATCAGTGAAGCATATTCATTATTGGGTATTCTTTGTGAATACCTGTATATTCATGCAGACATGACGATCAGTGCAGTATGAATGGTTTCCTGTCGTGCATTTTGCTGTGACAGTGATGTGTTGTTGATGTTGCGTTTACTGCTCTGAAAAAAGCCACCGTGTTGGAAAAGATGCCAATTCAAACATTTATCTATCTACATTCTCCTTCATTCACTATAAATTAGTTCATGAGTAACTTGTGTTGTCCAGGTTCAATGACATCCATGTCCCGGTGAGGTTGGAGTGTGTGAAGTTTGCCAGCCACTGTCTCATGAACCACCCAGACCTGGCCAGAGATCTCACAGGTGTGCACATGCCTTGATGTTTTCTTTACATACCGAGTGGATTACTTTGGTTTTCTCTGGCTAATTCAGTCTATTTCTCACTATTTCTCACTCCAAACGCCTGACTTAAGAGTTCTTGAAAGTGCGTTCCCATGACCCCGAGGAGGCCATTCGTCATGATGTCATAGTCACCATCATCAATGCTGGGAAGAAGGATCTTAATTTGGTCAATGACCAGCTATTGGGCTTCGTAAGAGAGAGGACGCTGGACAAGAGGGTGAGATAAATGCAACAGTGTAACAATGTCACAAGGCAAGGTCACATTATTCTTCAATATATGCATGAACGTGAAACGGAGTATATTGAGCATGTTTCTCACGTTTGTTTTACTCCTGCCAGTGGCGAGTGCGCAAGGAGGCGATGATGGGCCTGGCTCAGCTTTATAAAAAATACTGTTTACACCACGAGGCGGGGAAGGAGTCTGCCCTGATGATCAGCTGGATCAAAGACAAGCTGTTGCACATCTATTACCAGAACAGCATCGATGATAAGTATGAGAGCATATTTTCATCAAATCAAATAAAAATGTACCTCTATGATTTTATAGTCAGGAAGATGAAACCTTTTTTTAAAATGCACCTCAGAATCTTGATTTGTGTGAAGATAATGAAATGTAACAAGGACTCTCCAGTTCGTCCTCTTAAGGTTTCAATCTCTGTTCTGCAGGTTATTAGTTGAAAAGATCTTTGCCCAGTTCATGGTCCCCCACAGCCTTGAAACAGAAGAGAAGATGAAATGTCTCTATTACCTGTATGCCTGCCTGGACACCAACGCTGTCAAGTCAGTAATCCTGCACCTATTAGTTTTACATACCTGTTTTCTGGACAAAGTACAGTGGAACCTCAAAGATCGAACACGAGACATTCTGAGACACTAGTCAAACTATGTTTCTTGATATGACATCATAATTCCTAATATCAGCCTGAGAAGTCATGCACACACCCAACAACTATGTAGCTGTGTGGACCCTTCACTTTAGCCTGCACAAGCCTAAAAGTGATGATGTAAATGTATTGTTTAGCATTGAACAAATCAATTGTGCTCTAAAGTTTTACGCTTATATGGGCGATTCCACCAAATTAGTGCCATTTGTGTCGCCAGGCAATAAGATGAAAATACATTTTTGTAAAGCGTTCTCCACATTGATATGTACAGTATTAGGTTTAAAGTTGGCACTCTATTAGAATAAATGCCATGGCTATCGTTCCTCCATTTGATCATTTTTAATGCTAAAAAACCTCACTGATATAAAAGAAAAAGGTTTGAGATGCACCAATACACATTGTGAGTTGTTGAATATGTCTGTCATCAAATTTAGTGCTAATAAAAATGAAAGGAAAACCAATAGAACTTTGAGTGTATTTTGAGTGTGTGACAAAGAACAATTGGCACTGATTAGGTGGAATGGTCCATATTTTATAAATGTATAAAAAAAACATACAATTTGACATATATACATGTCTGTATGTGTATTTTTATATTAATTTTAAATTTGATGCAACCTCTTTTTTTCTTAACGCATTGCCTAAGTATTGGCAGATACTTTAAACAAAAGAATCTGATTTAGACTTTGGTGATAAAGTGTGATTCGGACATCCCCGTTCGGGCCAAATTTCACGATACATAATACAATTTTGATCACTCAGCAGAACAAAATCTATAGTTGTCCACCATTGTAGCTAACTTGTTACTTGTCTTTTATTCTTCGTAGGGCTTTGAATGAGATGTGGAAGTGTCAGAATATGCTGAGGGGCTTGGTTAAAGAGCTGCTTGACCTTCACAAACTGCCTGTGGTGCGTTGAATCAAAGGATCTTCATCTTGCTTCAAGCACAGATGTAGATGTAACCCAATTTTCCTCTCTCCTTTAGTCTGAAACCAATAGCAGTGCCATGTTTGGGAAGCTGATGAATATTGCAAGTCAGTAACCCATCTACTCAATAACTGCTGTTTTCATTGTAGTCAGTAACTGCCAAATAAATCAAGGCTATTTTTCTTTTTTGCATTTTTCAGAGAACCTGCCAGATGCGGGGAAAGCTCAAGATTTTATGAAAAAGTTCAATCAGGTTCTTGGTGACGATGAGAAGCTCAGAGCTCAACTTGAGATCCTCATCAGTCCGACTTGCTCTTGCAAACAGGCGGAGATTTGTGTGGTGAGAGACCATGGAACGCTGCATCTTTCATAGTATATCCCAAAAACTTAAAAATGCTGTGACACCTAACCAATCCATGAGCTATTTTTTTCCTATTCTCTCCATATTTTTAAATCTCGCTGGTATGAATACAAAACTGCCATATAAACAGTCAAACCATCATAAATATGGATATATTTTATGTATATACTTGGCCTTAATCTAGAATCTGACAAATTTACAACATTAAAACACAATCACTGTTTGTTGTTTGTACAGAGGGAGATCACTCGGAAGTTAACGTTTCCCAAACAACCGACCAATCCTTTCTTGGAGATGGTTAAGTTCCTGCTCGAACGCATTGCCCCAGTCCACATCGACTCAGAGGCCATCAGGTGTGAAAAAGTATCATAAGGAAAAAAAACAAAACTCATCGCCTGTGAAATTCTCTGTGGTGCACAAATGGAAGTGCACTGCAAGTAGAGCACGGTTGAACCTGTGAAACTTGAGTTTCAATAGCTTCATGCTCATGTTTGCCTTTGTGTAACACCGACACACCATCAACTGGCTTTTCTCATTCAGTGAGACACCGTGTGGTGGGGAAGTGTAACTGCTTTATCAGCAAGGTTTGAAGGTTAACCCTTTCTGCATGATGGAAAAACACTATTGGGACAGACAACGGTGGCTGAATAGATCATATTTTAGTATCACTTTGTAATTGTTGTAACGGCCTAAGGTTTTTTCAAACTTTTGATAACCAAGGCCTTTTTTGGTTTTAGTGCTTTGGTAAAACTGCTCAACAAGTCAATTGAAGGCACAGCAGATGATGATGAAGAGGGTGTTACCCCTGATACAGCCATCCGCTCAGGCTTAGAGCTACTCAAGGTACATGATACTAGAAAGTCATCCCATTTCATTTTTAGATTATTTTTTCCCCAATTGATTCATTGCAAATTGATCATCTGTCATGTGTTGGATGATTTGGATTCCCTAAAACAATCCTAATTCTTTCAATGGCGAAGTTGACTTTGGTGTGAATTAACCAGTCCTATTACTCCTTTTAGGTTCTGTCATTCACCCACCCCACAGCATTCCACTCATCGGAGACCTATGAGTCTCTTCTCCAGTGTCTGAAAATGGAAGATGACAAGGTGGCTGAGGCAGCGATCCAGATATTCAGAAATACCGGACAGAAAATTGAGACAGAACTACCACAGATAAGATCGTATGTATTACGTGGCACAGCGAACCTACCCCAATGCTGATTTGTCTCCTTACTCATAAATAATCCTATGCATTCATCAGGACCCTAATTCCCATTCTACATCAGAAAGCTAAGAGGGGGACACCTCATCAGGCCAAGCAGGCCGTCCACTGTATACATGCCATCTTCAACAACAAGGAAGTGCAGTTGGCTCAAATTTTTGAGGTAAAGGACCAAAAACAAATCCTCCATGTTTGAGATGCTTTCTCGGATAAAAGAAAATCTTGATGCGTTTTATGTCCTCCATACCTCCAGCCTCTCTCGCGGAGTCTAAACGCAGACGTTCCTGAGCAGCTCATCACACCGCTTGTGTCACTAGGCCACATCTCCATGTTGGCACCAGATCAGTTTGCTTCACCAATGAAGTCCATAGTGGCTAACTTCATCGTCAAAGACCTCCTCATGAATGACAGGGTGTGTGCAACGTGTTTCCATTTTATAATGGTTGATTATGGATAACTGATTTAAAGAAGTGGTAGTATTATGTTAAAAATAAAGCTTAGGTTTATATTAGTTTTTTGTGTCTTTAGTCAGTGGGAAACAAGAATGGTAAGCTGTGGACCACTGATGAAGAAGTTTCACCGGAAGTTCTGGCTAAGGTGAGACACACACACACATACACACACACACCCCTACACTTTAAAGCACAGGTGTCAAAAGTCCGGTGCTTGGGGGCCGGTGTCCTGCATGTTTTGCCAGTCCTAGTGCTGGCTGCATTCGGAAATGAATGCCCCTCCAAACACACGTGTACAGTAGTGCACCGGCATCAAAGTGACTTTCCCAGCGCGCCCTTTCTCATAATCAGACAAGTACGATATGAACAGAATATGGCAATAATGAGCCCACTGAAAAAATCTAGTGGTTGGTCAATGGCCGTGCCTGCATTGCAAGAGAGTATTAGTTCACGACACTTGCATTGTATGAACATTGAAGGAATTTGAATGTAACTATCAAGGATGCTATCATACTGCTTTGGGTCTCCGGCAAATAAACATTTCCAGTGCACTGCAAGAGCAGCAACTTGGCACATTAAACTGCATTGCAATGTGCCCAAGAACATTTTTTTTTTTTATCGACCAATATGAAGTAGTTATATCGTACGTATTACTTTTCTGTCATATCGCCCAGCTGTAGCTGATTTAATTGAATAAATTAGAACTTTTAGGTGTAAGTGGGATATATTGATTGTGCAATGAAAGAGGCACATTAAAGCAATACATGCTCCCCGTGTCTCACTATTCATCTAATCATTTGTGTTCATCTGATCTTAGGTCCAGGCCATCAAGCTGCTAGTACGTTGGTTACTAGGAATGAAGAACAACCAGTCCAAATCAGCAAACTCCACGTTACGCTTGCTGTCAGCAATGCTGGTTAGCGAGGGAGACTTAACAGAGCAAAAAAAGATCAGGTAACGTTCAAGTCAACGACCTGCTGACAAATGCTTCTGATCCTGACATATATGTTCCCCTACAATTTTTTTTTCCCCTCCTCAATCTATCTGCCTGACCTGCTACCAAATGGCCTAGTGGTTGGGGACCACTGCTCTAGTTTTTCACTTTGGGTTCTTTTTTCTTGCCATTTCTTTTTCTCTGCAGCAAATCAGACATGTCTCGTCTAAGGCTGGCTGCAGGTGGCGCCATTATGAAGCTAGCCCAGGAGCCCTGTTACCATGAAATCATCACGCCTGAACAGTTCCAGCTGTGTGGCCTTGTTATCAATGTCAGTCTCTTCTTCATTTGGCATTTCACAAACGTATTAGTGGGCTGCATTTCTTGGTGAGAACACCATTTAGGAGATATTTTCAACAGGTGTTTTTATTTGCCGTGAGGTAGAACTGAAGTCACAATTGGAGGTGTTTCTCATATTCTGACTCCCATGTAGTTACATCAGGTTCATAGCTCTGTGAGATGCAATGTAATTCTTCACCACCAGTCTACCTCATCAACAAACACGGTTCGTTTAATACCTCTGACAGTGTCAATCAAAACTGAGCCATATTTGGAACAGCGTTGTTTTTGATACAGCTCTTGCATTGAATTTTACGTGTGTACCTAATGAAGAGTTTCCTTCTGCATGCAGGATGAGTGCTACCAGGTGCGTCAGATCTTTGCTCAGAAGTTGCACTTGGCTCTAGCTAAACTCTCCCTGCCACTGGAGTACCTGGCTGTCTTCGCCCTGTGTGCCAAAGACCCGGTGAAGGAGCGCCGCGCCCACGCCCGACAGTGCCTACTCAAGAACATCTCAGTGCGCAGAGAGTACATTAAGCAGAACTCACTCACTCAGGGTAAACTTGGTCACATGTCGACATAACATGGTCTGAAAGATCACTATGATCACTCAGCTGATCTCTTTCTTTTCACAGAAAAAATGGTCTCCTTCCTTCCAGAGTATGTTGTTCCTTTCATGATCCACCTGCTGGCTCATGACCCAGACTTCACGAAACCGCAGGAATATGACCAGCTCAAAGACATTAAAGAGTGTGTAGCGGGTGATACATTTTTGTGTGGTTTGCTTTTAAGTGACCGCTACTGAGCCATGTTTTTACTTTGCGCTCAGGTGTCTGTGGTTCATGCTGGAGGTGCTGATGACCAAGAACGAGAATAATAGTCACGCCTTCCTGAGGAAAATGGTGGAGAACATCAAACGGACCAAAGATGCGCAATGTCCTGAAGACACGAAAGCCAACGAGGTACACGGAGCAACAAATGCGAAGGAACCAACTAATATTGGCACAGAGACGTTATTTTGTAGTCTTTCCTCATGGTGTGGTGTTGCATTTTCAGAAGCTGTATATCGTGTGTGACGTCGCTCTCTTTGTCATCGCTAACAAGAGCACCGCGTGTCACCTGGACTGTCCAAGCGACCCCATTATATGCCCCACATTCTTCCTAGCGCTAGACAAGGCAATGAAACACTCGTCTCTTCGCCTTTGAATAACATTGTTGATTTTCTTGTGACGACACACTTCACATACATGTCATTGTGCAGTAATTCACAGCAGATGTAGTATATTGTCTTTTACTCTGGTTTTCTTCTCTCTCTCTCTTCTTTTTCATCAGGATTTCAAAAATGACAAAGACTATTTGTCAGGAGAAATGCGACAAATGCTGCTTACAGGAAAGGTGAATGTTGCAAAATATCGGTAAAGTTGTTTCGGAGCATTTGAAAGTGATGTCTGCAGCTACAATGTTGCACCTAAAACACTCCAGACATATGAAAGCACAATATCTGAGAGTGTAATCACAATTGAAATTTAAGCTGTGGAGTCCTCCCATTTCCTGCCGTCTCTGGTGGCAGTGGTCACATGAGGGTTGTTGGTGGATAACCATTCTGCATAACAACCAGTCATTCACTTTCTGAGACCTTTTGAAATTTGTGCGCAACCGCGAAAAAGATGTGACTGTTTGTGAAAAGATGTGACTGTTTGTGAAGTCTAAGGTTTTGTTTTGTGTTTTTTTTTTAAACAAGCTAAACCGCTGTAGTAGTGCTTACTATAGCCGACTATGTTCGTTGTCCTTGTTCTGCAGCCTAAACAAGCTCCGGTGTTGGTGACTGTCAACAAAACTCTAACTGTACCGGGCAGGAAGATCTTTAAGACCCAGGTAGTCTCCGATACAAGTAATACCAGCACCAACTCCTCGCCGCTTAACTCCTCCACTGTCAACAAGAACAGGTACACTCTCCTAACTATTGTATAGTGCCCCCCTGCCCCCTTACAGTTGTATTTTTAAAAAGTGTGCTTTAATTGGTTCAAATGTGTTCAGAACTGATGCAAAGAGTTCACCGATCACCAGCAACTTTCTTTGTTAAATACGATAAGCGTTCTGTTTGGCGACTCTTCTGTCACTCGGCAGTTTCTTCCCCCAACGAGTAGCTGCACCTCAGGGCACTTCTTTTTAATAAGTATATAACTCGAGGGATCTTACAAGCCACAACACCAAATGCTAAGATTGAGCAGCTGACAGCTGTACTGCAGGGATGTGGACATCGTATTTTAATTTCTACTGTATGTAATAGTTTTATTTTTCATGTTAATATGCAGTCGCAAAGTTTGGTCACCCCTGCTGTACTGCATGATGTGTGGTGGGAAAGGTATCGCTAAGCTTCTGCTTCACCGTACTCCTTTTGGGCTCTTACTACCACATACTCATTATTGTCTGGAAATGTATTGTCTGCAGTGCACCATGCCCAACTAAACATAACCAAACCACATTATAGTAGGTAATATGAATGTTGTCGATCAGATCATTTTCTTGAAAAGCAACGGAGGGTAGAATTTAGATTTAAATATACACATTATTGATGTAAGCCAGGGGGAGCTTTCCTTCCTTGACTTACCAGCAGCCGCAACTGGTATGCAGTGATGAACAGTGGTGTCAATACAAACACACTGGCAGTTGAAAGCCATGTGCCATTTATCTTTGTGCTTTTAAACTTGCAGTAAAAGCATCACAGCCACAGAGCCTCCAGAAAGTCAAACGCAAGAAAACAATGAGAACCCAGTCATCAAGGAAGACATAAAGAAGGTACTCACTGCTAGAGGTATTGATTGGCAACAAGTACAGCTCATACTATATATTCACTCTGCCTTCTCCTGCTGTTGTAGATCGAGGTGAGTAAGAACATGGCTGCCGATGCTGGAACAGATGCGCAACCAGCGAAACGGCGTGGCCGGCCACCCAAAGCGGCTGTCGCCACTTCTCCTGCAGCGGCAAGCAAAGAGATGGCATCGGCAGGCGGCGGGGCCACAAGAGGCAAGAAGAGGGGAGCGGAGCCCAACTCCAACCCAGCAGAGTCCATCAAGGTGTCAAAGCAACAGAATGACGACGGGACAAATCGACAGATGGATCTGCAGAGGTAAGGGTCCTACAAAGACGAGCTAACATTGTGTGTTTCTATCCAAGTGTCGACTCAAGTAACAGTTCAATACAATGGCATTTTGTCAATGGTGAATGAAAACGTGTCCAGGAACAACAAACTCATTTCACCATTGACAGGGAGAGGGGGTGAGAGAGAGTGTCAATGCGTCTAATATTACATACGTTAAAAGTTGATTCTTTATCTGAGTGGCATTGATAACTTTGAGTGCAAATGTACAGTGTCAAATAACATTAATTAAAGATAAAGCACGCCCCCCACACCCTGCAATAAATGCTTCACCTCAATAGATGGCCTGGTATTCTCTGCTCTTGAGTAAATGCACATCTCAGGCCACTGTATGAGGAAATATTAATTGTGACGATTATGGATACCAACGAAGTTGACTGTCCATAGCTATCGGCACGATCAAAGCATGGAGCAAAACTTTTGTGGACACTTGTCAATGGAGAATCCATTTTAAAAGCAGGAAAGATTTCAACTTGTTACTGGCACAGAATAAGGAGCATTTTAAAAGAAAGTCATAGTTGTCATGGACTGGACATAGAAGATTCTAATTGGACAGCAACACTTGTCAGATTTTAACAAAAGGGCTGACTTTTCCATTATGCTTGTTTTGTTCAAGGTAAAGGAGTGGAGCCCCAACTGTTGGAGGACCTGATTTTTTTTCAAAGCCTCCCAGGCCATCATACATGTTCCTTTTGCTGACTTCCTGGATGTTTATGGACCTTTTTTTTTTTTTTTTTAAATCCGTCGCACAGATCTACATTTTATCCACACGTGGACTATCATGACATCCTAGAAGGTTCTAAACACGCTGTAGTTATCATTTGAAGCTCATTGTATGTAGGTCTTAAACTTGCCCATGTTTTCCCCCTTTTGTTTTTTCTTTGTTTTGTCACGCTACGCTGCGCTTCTTTTGTGGAGACATTTTTATGGGGAAAAAAATCATGGACATTTTACAGAAATTTTAATCCGGTAAGACTCTTGCTTATTAAATTCGCTGGTAAAAATCCTCCCATGTGACTCTTGGCTTCTTCCTCAATATTCTGTATCCAGTGGTACCACGACTTACGAATGACCCAACATTTGATTTTGTGGGGAGATTTGGTGACCAGTTTGGTAGACAATAAACAATTCAAGAAAGAAGCTTCAAGCTTTTTAAAGCCACTTCTAGTTAAATTTACTCTCAGGCTAAACCCCCCAAGTTCCCCTCAAAAAATTATTTGTCAATTTAATAACCACATCCCTTTGAAGGTCTCCTCGCTTAATGGTAACGCACCATGCAGAATGCCATAGAACAGCTAATAAACAGCATCAGTGGTGGTCTTGCAACGCTTTAAGAAACAGATATTGTAGCACAAATGGTGCAACAACAAAGACAATGTCACTACTCAGATGGATATTTATTATTATTATTGTTATTATTATTATTATTATTGCAGTGTACTGATTCAGTTGTGAAACGTTTGCGTCTCCATTAAACTCCCCTTGGTGGCCAAAGCATGCACTCTATAAAGGAGCAAAATTTGGGTCTAGAATGGAATATTTGCATTTCCATTCATTTCAACAGAGAGACGATTTGAGAAGTGTTTTGAGTTACTAGAGTGGTCAATCGTAAGTCAGGGCACCATTGTACTGAACATTATGCTCTCCCCAATTCCTAGCGCAAACAAACGTGTACTTTGTAAATACTAATGAACAGCTTTAAATATCAGTACAAGACACTGCATGGAACGTTGGATTTTTTGAACTAATGTTTAGGTGACTCTTTAATGGCTTGGACTTCTTTGTTACAAGGCTCATCTTTTTCTGATGGACCAAATGAAATGGCGATTATGTAGTGTAACCTGCTCCACCAAGCCTGGTCAGGAACTTTTGCATAGTTTCATTTGAGTTGAATTCTTTTGTTTGTCCAAGTATGTGACTTTACTTCACCCTGGAGTGCATAAATGGTAAATACTACCATGAAATTATTTTTCTGTCTTTTTCCTGTTTTATAATTAAATGTAGTTTATACCTTTTTTTGTCAATTATTTGTCCAGGCACTTCTGAGCCACTGCATGCGCAACATTTTAGCATAGCGTGCATACTCTCACCATGATGCTTACTTATTACACCCCAAAGTTTGATGTCAAATCTTGCACCTATAAAGTTTTGTACTGTATTTGAAATGTACACACACTGAACATTTCCACACAGTAATGTTATTTCGTCACCTTTTTCTTTCACCCACAGCGAAGTCAGATGTTGCCTCACACATTCCTCATCCTGCAGTTAAATACTTGTTTGACGGCAGCAGGTGCTTTCAGCAAGTTTACAACCCTGAACCTACCATTAGTGCATTTCATTACAACTGTACCAAATTTGTTAAAATGGTTGCTCCCCTCTCCCTCTCTCTTTGTCTCTGTTTTTTTAAAGCATGTGTTGACGTTATGTATAAAATAGTACACAAACAGAATTGGGGAGTTACATTTTACACATGTAGATGTGCTGTAGAAAACAGATTGAGTCACAGAAAGATCCATGCCACACCAATCACAGCAGAAAATATGAAAATTCTGGAATTTCAGAAAGTTCACTTTAAATTGATGAAATCCCGAGATGAAGAAAATATAACCATACATTTGTATTTGTCAGCATGTTTGCCTTTTATTTGACCTTCAAAAAAGGCATGAAATAAAAAGCACCATCACAAATCCTAATTAGAATGTCATTGTTTACAAAGAAAGTCCAAATGGAAAATTGCTTTTTAATCACGCAATGCTGGACTTTTTTTTTTTTTTGAAACAATAGATTGCAGCCATCATCAATGCATTCTAATTAGGAGGCTCTTTATCAAGACTATTGGCACGGATGTGTGTGTTTTTGACAGACCATTGCTAATACTTTTGGCATTAGCTATCCAGTAAAGAATTTTTTGTAAATGCAGTATGGTAGGCAAGAAAAATGGTTTAAAAAGTAAACATACTGAAACATACAGTTTCTATCGACTACGCTTTGGTAGGTAAGGCTGCTATTGCTGCATTCTCTATGAAATTGGAACATGGGGAAAAAAATAAGACTCGCGGTGATTTCATGTCCATTCTTAGTTGATGTATCAGTGGATCATTGTCATTTCAATACCCCTCAAGGTGTACCATATGGAAGCCAAACAAAATTTTCCAGAAAAAAATAGACCTAAAAAAAATGGGGCCATCTTCTTGACACCATGCAGGACTCTGTGAACATCCAAAGGATGAAGTAAGTGTACTTTGTCTTTACTTTGGCTTTTCGTATGACATCACAAAGGCAACCGCCGTTTATTAGCCAACGATAATACCTGCTCAACATCGTCATACACATTTCAAAGACAAATACAAATCAAAGTACGGCCCAGGGGCCATATCCGGTCCGCCCACAAGTCTCTGACTAGCCTTTAGTGACCATGAAGTTGCGTCGAACTTGTTGCGAACTTGGCGGCGTCTTTGGTGATTTTTTTTTTCCAAAAACGACGATCTTCATCAGATGTCAGATTTCTGACGGGATTACAGTACAGTGGTGACGTTTGCCTGACGCGTGTTTGTTTACTCTTCAGTGTACACTCGTGCTATACTGTGATTGGACGCGTGTTCCTATGTCAAAGGCATTGACCAATGAGCTGCTTTTGTTTTCACTTTTCTCCTCCTTCCGCCCTTCGTTCCGGGTTTTCGGATGGACGGCGTAAAGAATGACAACTTTGCTCACATACAGTAAACAAACGTTGCAGTGATGTGACACATCAAACCAATTTTCTTCAATGTGCGTGCCCCGAACTCGGAAGCTCCTTGCTACACTGAAAGTGTGCACCCTGCTCTTATTCCAAGTCCAAAGTAAGTTGGACCCCGGTTTTCTTCATCCCCGCGTCTGTTCTTGTTTAATCATCATTTAAAGGTCCACAGACCACATTTTGTTAGGGGTTGCCCAGCTGTTTTCTTCGTCTTGCTAAGCTAGCAAGACCTTGTTCATTGGAAAATGAGTTTGAACTTGAATTATTTTGTATGTGCTCAAACCACGTTGACTATTTAGCGATACCGAGCAGGACTCTTTCCCGTATTGTTTCCACATGGACTGGTGATTTTGCAGCCGTATCCTCCCTCGAATATACCGTAAGTCGTTAAAATAATAATAATAATTATTAGAATTGAAACATACACTCGCCGGATGTTATATTCAGTACACCTGCACCTGCTAAATATGCTCCCCGGTGACTGGATGGTTGGATGCGTAGATGCAGTTGAAACCAGAAGTTGACAAATACAGTACTACAGATTCTGTCGTGACTTCCTCAAAATGTATTTTCTGGACCTTTTACATTTCCAATTGAAAACCCCTGCTATAGAACATTTGAAAGACAACGTTTCCCCCTTGACTGTCTTAGGAAATTACACTAAACCCTGTCCAAACATGAAAGTTGTACAGTTTGGCCTCAAGGAGGTATGTTGATCTGAAGCTCAAAGAATGAGCTAAGTTTAACTTGGGTAGTTGGTGGAAATTATTATCCAATTAAAGCAGGTGGGCATTCATTCTCCATGAGCACCTCTCCCTCCATTGACAATTGGTTTCAGATGGGTCCATCTGCAACCTCACATTCACATCGTGCATCAACACCCCTTGGCACGCCAACGAGATGATTCGATATGCATGTTGACGCATGGGGTGCACTGCGGTTCAAGGACAGTACATTTTCAAATGTAACTATTGAAGTTTTTTCTTTTAAAATCGATTTTCTGATTCAAATCGCTTTGTGTTACATTCCTAATATTCAAAATCCTGCTTCACTGAGTCCAGGTTCTCTGTTAAAGGCAAAAACATGTAACGCAGCTTCTTTGTGAGTTATTTTGATGTGTGCTGTGTAAAATGGGCTCTTGTCTTTGCAATGAGGTCAGAACAACATCGAAATATGTGTCATGCATTGTGCACCTAGCCGACCAAAGATAAAGATTCCAGGCATGGGTTCTTATCCATCTAAGCATTATTGTGTTTTGTTGCCATTTGGTGAGCTACGGTACATCTGGAGAACAGGACCGACTTCTTCATTTCCTGTTTTCACTTGGGGCCTTATTAGAAAAACGCATTGAAAAAGATCGTGAGTAATATCCTTTTTAAATGGAATTAACTTCCTACTGGTTTCCCCAAGACCACAATGAATAAAAAGTGTAGAATGACACATTGTGATCAAGCGTCTAAAAAGTAATTGTTACAGAGCTTGTACAGTATGCTGACGCTTCCTAACTCAGCAGTCTCCTCCCCCGATTTGTGTTTGTGTGTCTGGCACAATTAGAGTGCACTGCTCTGACAAGCAGGAGTTTTGGGTTTCTGCTTCCAGTATTTTTGTCTGTCCTGTTAGGACTATTTCTGCTTTGTACTCAGGTCACATAGCTCTAAAGACATGGCAGAAGGAGGCTTTGACCCTTGTGAATGCATCTGCAACACTGAGTACGCAATGAGGCGCCTCATTAACCTGGTAAGTTTTGGAACTTTAATTAGATCTCGATTTAGCAGATTGGATTAGGACGAAACTAAGGGGTTGCCATAAAACAAAGTGCAATAAAACAAAGTATATCTGTAGTATGGAGAAGAAAAGAAGAAAAGCTAAATGAAATCATCACAAAGGAGAAACAAATGGGATGGTGCCAAGACAAACTGAGCCAACATCCTGGTTCCTGCTCAATGATTACCTTGAGGGCTGCGATAAGATGTGGATTTTACATTGTCTTAGCAAAAATTGGTTTTAAAGAAAGTTATACTGTTAGAGGATGACATTTTAAAACATTTCCATTGAGTATATTGACAAATATACTAAGTGTGTGGTTATTTTCCATGCGACTTTGTCAGCCTGTACAGGTGTAACTTGTATGGTTAGATGCAACTGGATTGAAGACGCTCCGAGGCAATTTGTATTGCTTGTAGAAGGGTGTTGTCCCAAAAGAAAATACAGTGGAATCTTTGAAGAGGAAATTAGCAATTCAAGAATCAAACTCGTGCCCTCACGAAGCTTGAACATGAAGTTTTAACATTTGTCACAGTCATACAAGGGTAAAACTAAGTTGACCATTGTAATATTTCTGCATAAGTCAAAAAACATTTTGGGGAAAATACTGCATGGTACAGTATGTCTAAAAGAAAAAAAAAATCCAAGGTTGGTTCAAAACATCATATATTACATCAACATGTTTTGAGACTACTCTATAGAATGCAATAGAAGCAATGCAGTTTTAAAAATGATACCCAAATAATTATTTTAGCAAGCAGTTATGTCATGATGCAACATGTGGACTAATGACTTAGCTGTTGTCATTCTTGCATCTGCCAGGCAACTTAAAATGGTGAGGAGCTTAACTTTGTTTTAGTGTTAGATCATAGCGTGGCTAACCTCTCTGTACACTTGTATGGCAGTTAATGATGTTAAAATTTCACTTAAACATTGCCTGTACATGCTGCAATTGGCTGGTGGCCAATTTAGGGGTAGACACCGCCTCTCACCCAATGCAGCTCATTCGCAACCCTGATGAGGACAAGCGACATGGAAAGTTGATAAAGTATTACAATACAATACAATACATCCTGATTTATATAGCGCTTTCACAACAGCCGCAGCTGTAACAAAGCGTTTAACAAAACCATTAACATAAAAGTAAAATAATAAACACAACACATAACATAAAACACGGACAGTCGTGCAATCCTAACCACCTTTCCCTGATACGCTTTGTTGTTTAAAGCAGTTTGAGATGAAAAATGAGAGAAAGTGTCTGCAGTGGATCAGAGACGTCATGCTCAAAATGTGCACACGTCGGCTACAAGCTAAGTTTCCAAGTCAACAAGAAGCTGTCGCATCCATTGACCAAAAAAGAGATTGGTTCACTTCTCCTGTCCCATGTAAATCCATTTCAATTCAATTCCACTGAACAAAAAGGGCTGTGAAAACTGCTGCCCATTACAGGCGCAAAAAACACAAGCACTCCGAGGGCTGTCCATCACCGCCAGTCAAATGGCGCCGACATTCCTCCCAATCAAAATCTATGCTGGTACATGCGTGCTACCGAGAAGGCACAACCACCAAGCACAGATTCTTCTCCTTTGACGAATGGCGTGGCCAAAAAAAAAAAAAAAAACGCTGAAAACAGCCCACAACAGGTCCACACTACGAAACACCAAACACCATGTGACAAAACAAAAGACAAAAACAACAAAAAAGCAAGGCTCTTGAAGAGCACTTGCCAACGGCTGCCTACTTGGGCGCCATCTTGGGGGGGGGGTTTATTGGTGATGCCCTGTATTTATCTATTGATTGAGAAGACCTCCTTTGTCAACCAGCATCATAGAATATTTTTGAGTACTGTATTGGGAACACACTAATGCATTCTTTTAAGATAATGTAAAAATAATAACATGGTACCGAGAGCAATATGTATTAGGATGTATCAAACCTCCATTTTTTGCCAAGTATTTGCTTTTTCCTTCTTACCAGTCTTAACCTTGTTTCCATGTGGTGAAAGTCATTCCTGCAAAACATTTTGTTGTGTCCAAAATACTGTCTCTGAAGTGGTAATCCAAGTGAAGAACCATCCAAGTATTCTTGCTTTTTTCTGTTTCATTCAGTCCATCGTTTCTCTTCCAGCTCCGAAATTCTCAGTCTTACTGCACAGACACAGAGTGCCCTTTGGAAAGTGCGTATGACACCTTCATGCATGCTTATTTCAATGATGGCGTGTAGAATAGGGCCAGAGCATTGTGTGTTTGTTTTCCAGTACCTGGGCCAAGCGGAGGGTCACTCCATGATTGGGAAGAACTGACCCTCCCATTTATGGTGATTGGATGGATGGTCCTTGCTCTAATCCTCTTCTCGCTGCGCCCTTCTTCTCTCAGAGGTGGTCCCGCTTCCACTGACAAACCCACCGAACCCCATAATGTAAGTTTTACTCCATATCTGTAATTACTATGAAAGAGTGCACGTGTCACTCTGTTTCATGTTATTCAATGTCTGTTTTACAGCGTAATATCGGATTAATCTCGATCTAAGGATGAACTCATTACTTTGTACACATTCGTGACACCGGTGTTTCCCAACTAAATGTTTTATGTTCAAAAAAATTCACAACACGCAACCAAAAATGATTGCAAAAAGTTTGAATTAATGACGATATCATTTCAATTTACTCACAAATGTACTTGCTCATGTAAAACCGAAGCCTGTTAATTGGAACACAAATTTGTTACATGAATGGCAACGGATGCAAAGGCTGATTTGTATAATCTGCCATCTAGTGGAAGAGCATTTAATTGTTCTGCCTATTACTACTGTATATGTTGTCTTGATGAGCGGAAAATGTATTATTAATAATCAATAGCATTTGGGATTTTTTTTTATAACAATCATGGATAAAGGTTTTTGAACTGCATAGGACACTGCTGTCAGTGTGTACACTTAAATAGGAAGAGTACACAGGTTGTGGATGGAGGACAGAGCGGTGAAATAGGGTAAAGTGCTCATCTATGCTGTTTTTTTTTTTTTTTTTTTTTAATATTTTATCTCCCCTAGCCAGAACAATTGAGAACAAATACCTCTTAACTTTGAAATAAGTGTGAGCGACATCTTTTTGGTACTGTTGTTTTAAAATTGTATTTATGTCCGAACTTGGACTGGGCCATGCCGAAACAGCTGAAGAATTTTGCCACTCAAAAATGATTGACCTCATTTTAATACAAATTGTAAAGGTTTGGAATTGGATCAACAGGAGCACAAACATAAATCCAATTGAATTAAACAGTTCTGAAGACATATTGATACTGTGAAACTGAGAAATTATGAATCCAGAATGTACTTGTGAGCATAATTCGGTAAAGAAGCATATCCACAACCACCCTGAAGGAATATTGGCCATTTTTGTGTTGTGTTGCAGAGAGGTGGAAGAGAACCACCAGCGCCACCTGTTGACTAGGAGAGGGAATCTAGCAGTCCTCAACTGGAGATAGACATTGACCCCAAGTGTGTTGCTGTGGCACAGATAACACCCATGGCAGCCTTCATTAAAAGATATTTTTCCTATTTTTACTCAGTTCTAATTCCAGTGTGTTTTGGATATTGTAATTGCTGGCACTGGGCCAAAACCACATGTCAAAATTCGAGTGAATGTACTATGCTATCTATCGGTCAGTCCACATTTGTACGTACCCTTTTTTTTTTTTAAACGATTTATGACTACTCTAAAGAGTTGAAAATGGCTTGCACTCTTTGACAGTGCAATGTTAATGGTAAAACAAACATGCCGTCTTTTTGATGTCAGAGGAAGTGATGATTTTGAGGTACAAGGATTCCATTCAATGATCTCCCTCACTAGAACCTTACTGAAGCTCATGCTTTTTTTTTTTTTAGGTCAGTCCGTCAATGTCCAAATATGAAAACAAATTAGACACCATATGGATGTATTGTATGAATGTATGCATACTATACCCGTAATTACTTGTCTAATGATCAGTTTTTGAATGTGTTATGTTACTGAAGTTTGTTACTGAAATGAAGGACACACCGTATTTATGTCACTCATTGAAAGCAAGTCCATGAATCTATCAGTTAAGATACTCCCATTGGATACATGTTTTGTGTAATCAAATTACTGTAACTACCGTATACAGTGGATAATCATAAAATGATTTTCATTGAAAATGTTTAATTAATAATTAAACATTACCTATGTTTGGACATACAGCCTCACATGCCGTGTTGTACTTTTTAATTTACTACAATTATTTTGCATTTTAGCGTGAGGGGGTGAGTCTTGCACGGATATACTTCCGTAGAGTCTTGTTAAAAAGTTTACTCAAGAACAATATTTTTGTCTGAAATTGTACATTGTACACTAATCCAGCGCTCTCCTCTCTCCGGCACATCTGTCGTGATCATGGGTACTACACTTCAGTGGTACAATGTGATAACTAAAACCAACCACAGCTGCATACAAAGTACATAAAGTACAAATCTGTACAAATCAGACATTAAAAAAAAAATTGAGACAATAAAAACACCACAATAAAACAACGCGGAGTATCGTGATGAGTCGAAAGCATAAACCAAGAAGCCAGCATTTTCAATGGCAGTTTCAGGTGTAAAAATTAAATGTGTAGATATCGGGGCGGGTGGCCCGGTGATCCAGTGGTTAGCGTGTCGACCTCACAGTGCAGAGGTCATGAGTTTGACCCCGGCTCCGGCCTTCCTGTGTGGAGTTTGCATGTTTTTCCCGTGCCTGTGTGGGTTTTCGCCGGGTACTCCGGTTCCCTCCCACATTCCAAAAAATGCATGGCAGGCTGATTGAACGCTCAAAAAAATTGTCCCTAGGTGTGAGTGTGAGCGCGGATGGTCGTTCGTCTCTGTGTGCCCTGCGATTGGCTGGCAACCGGTTCAGGGTGTCCCCTGCCTACTGCCTGAAGACAACTTGAATAGGCTCCAGCATGCCCCACGACCCCTGTGAGGATAAAGTGGATCAGAAAATGGATGGATGGATATCAGGGCGACAAACGGCGAAGCGGCAGGATTCCCATTCTGTCTCCCTCCGTTGGTCATTGTTTATGTTCCTTTGGACGGGATGCATCTGGGAAAGTAAATTCCTTGTTTGTTTTACATATTTGGCTAATAAATCAGATTCTGATAATCACTTCTATGAAGTTTTCTTTATATGCTTCAATTATCCTTGCAGCAAAGTGAAGTTCAGGTATTGTTCTGGGAACCGAGCATAAACATTAGTAGTGCCCAGTGTTCCCTTAGGCCAGTGCGCCCGAGTACTGTGGGTCCCTCCCCATTGCATGCGTCAAGTAAATTGAGAAATTGTCTGAAAAATTGTGTATCCCCTGAGATTTTTCTCACCAACACAAAAAATGTCATCACACTAATGCAGTGGTTCTTAACCTTGTTAGAGGTACCGAACCCAACCAGTTCATCTGCACATTCACCGAACCCTTTATTAGTGAAAAAAAATATGTATTTTTTGTTACAAATTCAAGACATAAAAAACGCATTTATTAAAAACAAAAAATACACAATTAGTACAAGTATAAAGTATAAGTTTTTTGATTGTGCACAAAATGAACCAGCTAGTAATGGCCAAGCGGGCATGTCATAACTTCTGTAATTGACGTGTTGAGTCGGGTGTGTCTTAACCTCCATGGCAGAGCCTCTGTCGAACCCCTGAGACTGATGCACGGAACCCCAAGGGTTCGATCGAATCCAGGTTAAGAACCACTGCACTAATGTTTGGGTTACGGCGCCACATATTTTTTTTCCCCCCACATAAAAGCTACATCGTATGAAAAACGTACACTGACGTCAAACACAAGTAGAGTCAGTCGCCATTGAAAAGTGTTTGTGACCCTTTTAATTGCGCGTTAAAAGATCGATATTAGGTCATTCCACCGTCAATAACCATCGCATTTGGTAAATAAATGTGACGTCACTAAATTCAGCATAAATCTGAAGGGAAAAAAAGGAAAGACCGGAAATGAAACACGCATGCTTATTGAGAAACCGGAAACTGCGTCTCCCTAGGTTACCGTCAACAAAATAGTACCTCCACCCGAGCTTTACGTTTAATGTATCCATCTGTTATCCAATCCGCTTCCTCTGATCAAATAGTCATTTTATATTTGCAGAAACGACTATATGTAGAGTGATAGTACAGTAGTGGTAAAGCATATGAGAACTCTGGGCGGTCCTTGTCGACTTGTTGCTGCTGGCAAAACGTAACGAGCATGCTAAATCCTAGCAAAGAAGCCTGATTATCGTTTCAGACATGACGAATCAAGCATTCGACATTCTTGCTTACTCGCAGAGTCCCAAAACAACAAAAAGAACAACGTTCCAGGTCAAGGGTGCACTATGCTTTGATTACCACGCATGGAAAATGGACTCGGGTGACTTAACCTACTTGCTGTGTCTTTGCAGGATGAACTTGAAGCTGCTCTCAACGTCAGAGCTAGAAAAACAACACTTTTGTATTCAGGAGATCTGGATGAGGATGGCGACGGTAAGATGTATTGAATAACATGAGAGATAACACCGTTTGTTCTTACAAACTACACTCAGTGACAGGACTATGCACGAACTGGACTCATGAATGTCTAAAATGGTTTGAGTTCAGATTCTATGTCTTCTTGGGTTTTTGTTTGTTTATTTATTTATTTATTTTTTGCTACACACCCCTCACACTGACAAGATGAATGAAAGCATGCAACACCACTTCCAAAACATACTGTATGCTATTTATTGCATGCGTTGTTTTCATTGCATTGTTGAAAAGACTGTAACAGATGATAAACACATTTTAATACATTACCATTTGTCGAACTGTTTGCTCTCTTGATCAGCAGCAGTTTTTGTTTTTGGTTTTAGTATGCGATATAGATGGAGTAAAGGCGAATGTATATATATATATATATATATTTATTTATTTATATTATATGTAATTTTTAACATTTTCTGTTTGCCACAGATTTTTTGGGCAACCTCCTTAAATCAAGAAGAAACAGGTCTGATGCATTCAAAGCCAGCAAGACTAAAAGCCAAATCAACGACTTTGACTTCTCTGATGATGATGAAAAACAAGGGACGAAAAATAGGACTTCCTTCTTGAAATCCCTGAAAAGACTTTCTGTGGAGGGAGATCTGATTGCACCACAGCATGAACACGAGACTTTAAACAGTTGTCAGTTATCCAGTGAAGGTGACATAGGGCACAAAAAGAATGCTGTCAAATTGGCGAGCCATTGTCCTCCACGAGACAACTCTAGTACATCGCTGTTATCCCAGTCAGATGATGTTCCTCTGGACTTGCCCTTTCCTTTCCACAGCAGTACATCTCCAGCACCAATTAGGCCTGAGAGTAGAGCAGACATCAATGGTAACACAGGTTGTGAAGAAAGCTTCCGGACTTCATTAGACACTGACCTTAAATGTGTGACAACTACTGGTCAGTTTACGCAATTTCCCTGCAAATACTTTACATTTAAAGGTAGACATGTTCACCTTTTCCATTATGCATATATATGCAGGTATTGAGCGGGAGACACCCAAACCCAAACCAAGACAAAGGACATTGGGACTGAACATCCACGTGACAGAGAAAACCGAAACGTCTCCACCAGCTCCCATCACTGACATCTCAACTCCTGAAAAGATTACAACAAGGAGCTGCAGTCCCCATGTGCGTCATTTTACATCTTACATAGGCGTGTTCCCTTTCTATCATTGTCCGTCATCCTGTCTCTAAGGTTTACGAAATAGAAGGAACCACAAAGCAGTGCAGTTCTCCATCACTGAAAACCACAACGGGAAAAATGATAGATGGAATCGCTGAGTAATGATCAATTAAATGTATTTTATTTTTCATAACAGATATCATATGCTCATTGCTGATAAACATTGATAAATGAAAACCTTAACAGAACAACAAAGAAATAGTCTAATGTTATGTGAGGCACATATGATCTTTTCATGTCATCAAATGTATGTATGTGTCAAAAATATCTTGTCGTGTTTGTTAGTTGACAGATGGACACTGTGCTGGGTCATGCGCTTCAAGTGAGTCATCAAACATCATTACCACATTTTAAATGGATGATGTACCACGCAGCATTTTATTATTTGTATGTCTCTTTCGATTTAGATAGCTTCACTTTAGGTGATGCCAAAGAACAACAGAGGGAAGACTCCACATCGGTGAAAGAGTCTAACGTAAGACGTTATGTTACGATGTTGTTTTGATGTTCTTCATCTTTTCTGTTTAATAAGGTTACTCTTCCTTTTTCAGCAAGAGTCAGGAGAACACTACGTTGCTCTAGTCACTCCAGTTCCAAACAAATCTGATATCCGGTCAGTAATGCTATCTTACCTACGGTATGCCGATATATTAGTGAAAAAGCTTTGTGACTTCAGTGTCTTTCATTTTTTTTTTTATATCATTCAGGGCACCGAGTTCTCAGTCTCAGAGACGCAACACTGTGCGCGCCAAAAAGGTTGAATCAAAGTACCTGGGATCCCTCAAAATTCTGGATTGTAAAATTTCCCCAAATTGTCAACCACAAGCTGTCGATTCTCTAAGGGCCACTGTTTACCAGGTGAGTGGGACAATGACGTCTCTTGCCTTTTTCAAGAAGAGCTCCCGAGTGCACCGCCTATTTGTATTCGTCTCTGAAGAAGGCAGCAGGACATTGGGTGTCACTCTGTTCATATGTTATTTGTATTCCTCCAAGGAATGGCTCAGAAAGAAAAAGGAAAAGTCCTCAGAGAACTTAAACAAAGAGAGGATTCTGCAAGAACAAAACAAACAGGTGAGCAGCTGAGAAGATAAGAACCTCTCAGCACAGTGGACCATCTCTACCAACCTACGGTAAAACAAAATCGTGGTAAATGTTGTCATTTTAAACACACAGCTAACTTTGTTCCCCCAAACCAAACAGAGAGAAGAAGAAAAAAAGAAAGGTGCTGCCAATTCATACGAGGCTTGGAAAGAAAAGAAAGATGAGATGCTCAAAGCAAAAACAAAGGAAGACAAACATAGGTTGAGGGAAGAGCAAAAAGCGGTGGAAGAGGTACAGGAAAAAAGGAAAGCGGCTGAACAGGTACTATGTTTAAGAATCACGCATAACTTTCACAGACGGAAGACAAAAGTGAAGGCAGCAAGCTCCAACCTTCACACAGTCATGAATTGTGAAGCATTTTCACCAGAGTATTAAAAATGATCTTTATATTTCAAAATCATGGGGAAAAAAAAACCCAATGTCCCAATTATTCTGGATCTAATTGTAAGGGATGCCACGGCAGGTGTTTCATCAATGGAAGCGTGAGCATGATGACGTACTGCGAGAAAAGTGTCGACAACAAAAAGCAACCGAGAAGAAGCTTGCACTGAAGAAACACGAGGAGGAGGAAGAAAGAAAGACAGCCAGCAAGTCTGCTTTTTCGGACTGGTAAGTTCAGAGCATTGCCCATGTGAAATATCTCTCCGCAAGGAAATATTAAGGGTAACGGTGAAGAAAGATAAGAAGCAAGTTGAACAAATCATGTAGATGATACTGTCACCAATCTGAAACATCGTTCCTTATTCACACTTGGATGATCGTGGAAGGTGCTGTGAGGGTCATGCTTTTTTAAAAACTTTTCCAAGGCTTTGAATTGGATCCAATCTGTTGTGCTAGGTGAGAAGCTGCGTCGGATGGGTGTGTCATCACCCTTTTGGCTGCGTGCGGTCAGAGACAATTGACAATCATGCGTGTGGGCTCTTTGAGGTGAACAATGAGGAGCTTGCTCTCGTCGTTCGCTTCAAAGAGCCGGCCGGCTTGAACAGCTGTTTTGTTCAAAACCGACGCAGTCTATCTAGCAAAGGACAGGCATGTATCACAAAGCGCAAGATCGAAATCGAACAAGAGAATTCCTGCTTGCATTAGAGGCTAAAATTGAGAAGTGCTGGCAATCCGTACTGGAGTCTACCTGCACACTTTGGAGAACACAGAGCTGGTGGACGACTTGTGGACTGGTACGGTAGGAAAACGTCTTGTCCTCAACACTAGCAAAAGCTATTTTTTAGTCCTGCTCTATCACAGGTTTCAGAACGTCTTGGCCTCCATTGCATACTTCACTGTGCAAGGTTCTGCCACAAGATTTCACCAGTGGCCGAGTCTCAGCCACTAGTTTTGCAGCGATTCCGCATACAAATATACGACGTGGCGTTGTCGCAAATTGTAGTCTATCAGACGCACAGAAGCTTTCACATAGACTAAAAATACATTTCAAGTCAAGTACAACTTTATTGTCAAATGCGCTGTATGTGCAACATACAGCACAGATGAATTTCCCTCCCTCTCAACCAGACACAAGAGGAGCCGCTGCGGGTGCCCGCGCCGCCATCAATTTCCAGGTTTAAGCTGGCATTGACCGTAACCCATGTGATTGTTTTCCTAGGTGCGAAAAGAAGACAGATGCCCTGTACAAAAAAGTCACGATAAAACGCCAGGAAAACAAGAATAAAGCTGAGGAGAATCGATATATCCAAGAGGAGAAGGATAAAATGGCTGTCGAGATGTTTGAACAGTGGCTGGTATGTAGTTTCTTACCTGAATTGAGATCAACTCCTTGTATGACTTCTCACGTTATTGCAAAAATGTGTGACTGTCTGGGAGCACTTTAATGGATTTATTTTCTATTTAAAAACAGGCAAAGAAGGAGATCCAACAAAAGCGACAGAGAGAAGAAAAGCGACTCCAAGTGATACTGCGAGACAGTCCGCCCCCACCATGGAGCCCTCCCAATAAAACCATTCAATTTCGAAAATAACATTTGAAACGTGAGATGTCCATGCGGAGTTAAATTTCATGCAAATGACTTGGGGTCAATGCATGATGACTGGCTGTTGACCAGTCAAGAGTGTAACTGAAAAAAGCTCCTGCCACTCCAAAACGGGTAATTGGATGCATATAGTTTGATTTGAATATTTAGAATACAGACTAAAAAGTGGTCCATTTTATTCTGGATTTTCATGTCAATATAAAATAGAACCGTAAGACATCACAGAAATGGATTAGGTTGGTTTCATAGTGTTTATCTAATTTCAGTTTTGTTTGTCTTTACCCCAAGAAATATTTCCCAAAATAAAATGTATCAATTGAGGACAGCGGGGTAGTCATATGCAAGGTTTCCTACAGTGCCACATAAGCTTGCCAGGCAGTGTGTGTGTGTGTGTGTGTGTGTGTGTGTGTGTGTGTGTGTGTGTGTGTGTGTGTGTGTGTGTGTGGCAGGGTTCACCCTTAACCAGTCGATAGCCAATTGCTGGCTAAAGACAGAAGCAACCATTCACACTCGCATTCCCAACATGCATGTTTCTGGAATGTGGGAAGAAGCTGGAGTACATGAAGAAAACAAGCAAACACTTCACAAGAAGGCGGAGGCTCGCATTTGAACTCACAACCTCTGGACTGAGAGGCGTTGTGCTAACCAGTCGTTTCCTCATATTCTGCAGGGGAATTAACAGTTATTTCCGCTGATGTATGAAGGATGCCATCAGAGCAACCTGATTGGATTCTTTGGTGTCATGATCTTTCAGAGATGTGATGCAATAGGGAGAGTGTGTCACAAAGAGTCTGTTTCAGTCCAAGTTTAGTCTGTCGGAAATTCATCCACAACTTCAGAAAAAACACAGGGTGAGGCAAAAAGTCAGGCTGTTGACTCACTGGGACAGAACATTCCGTCATAAAGGGCGAGGCAATATAAGAGGGCACTAATGGTACTCGTCTACCTAGTAACATGATGGGTGGAGGAAGTGTTACGTTTTGTACAGTAGGGTGGTGAGGATAATTGAAACCAGGTGCGAGAAAGAAGAGTTGGGGTTGTTGTACACGAGACAGGAAGCTGACATGGCTGCCACACAAAGAGAAGGGACAGCAAACGCTTTGTAAACCCAACAAAAAAAAGAGACCACAATTACACTTTTAATATTTTACATCTTTTCTGTTTTTCAGTTCCGTGACACCATCTGGGGTGGGGGTGAAAATTTTATAAAATGGGGTACCGGTACTCGCATATGTTCTGCATTAGCGAGTAACGTTCCACATTATCGAGTACCGTTGTAACATCAGTTGACACCCAGTGTGTGTTTATGTTTCATAACACGTTGTGACCATTAGTTGTACTGGAAACAATGACATTTTGTTTGAGTATGAGTGTGCACGAGTTTAGTATGAGACTGGTCTTTACATGTCATGTAATGTAGAGTTCACACGTGCAAATTTACATCGGTGCTGCTCCGCAAACGAGCATTTGCTCCGGAGCAAATATTTAAACCACCTCCCTGAGGTGGGTTAAATTTGCTCTGGAGTAAGCTGTTTTCAGGAGTTACACGGTGTAACTTTGCACGTGTGAACGCTCTACTGCGGTAGCCCCGACGTAGCACCTGAGCAAATGTTGCCGTGTAAACCCCCCTTAAGATGTATTGAAACGTTCTAAGTTCAAATCATGTATTTATTTATTTTTTTCATAACAACTGCTCAAGCTGGAATTGAACCCCGTACCTCTACACTGTGCAGTCTACGCGCTATTAACCACTGTCCACCGGGCCGCTCCCAGTCGTTGTTTTACGCTTAAAATCCACAAAAAGGAACTATACGTGCGAAGGTACGGCAATTGTACGAAACGATGTGCGTTTACACTGAAAATCTACAAACAGGAAGCGGTCGTGCGTGGGTACGTCAGTTTACGTCACTTTACGTTTGTAACAGAGCTGACAGAGCCGCTTCTCTTCAGTGGAGGGAATTGAAACGTTTGGCTTGTTGAACTCCTATTGAAAGGTAAGCTTACTCGTTGAGTGTTGCCTGTATTATCAAGTCTTCTTCTTTTATCGTTACTGTTTTTTTAATGCATCATTAACTTTCATCTCGTCACGCGTGTCTTCGAGACATTGTAGAAGACAAGTATAAAAAAAATCTTGAAGTTTGTTGTCGTGTTGGCAGAGGTAAAATAAGGTTGTCTTGGTCAAGCTAGACATCTTGCTACCTCAGACATTCACTTTATATGTGACATATACTGTGAATATTTGTGAACCGGCCCGAGTGAAGGTGTTGGTCATCGGTCGTGGTTGACTCGGGCAGAGGTTCCAAGTATGAATTGGGGGGGTGGAGGTGTGGGGTGGGGGGGGGTGTAATGAAAGGCTCTTTATCTGACCAGGCTTTCACGGTTCGACTGGCACTGTTGGTGGGATTTAGGTGCAAGCAGTAAAATTGGCAGAAATCAAGCAGATTAAGTCCCGTCCCGACTAAATTTCATTTGAGTCATCACAAATAGTAAATCAAGTCATTCAAGCTTGCTCAGTAAATGTGGAGTGATTGTAATTTTTTTTCCACAGATTATGAGAAGTATATTCAATACAATTAAATCCAGATATAGGTAATTTTATAACCCAACATATTTTTATGAGTTGTATTTTCTGTGATCTTTTTTATTACGTGTATTTATCCAAAAATGGAATTAATATAGACTGCAATGAAAAGACTAAAAGATTAATAATAGAAAAATCTAACAAATATTTCGTGGCCAAATTAATCCTGTCAAAATATCTGGCAGTACTGTGTTTATGAAATGCGGTACAATACACCTTTTATATCGACAATATACTATATTGTTTATCTATAATAGCTCATCAAGTGGAAAAAATGGCATAGCTAAGAATTGAACGTCCCTCCAAAACTGATGAAAATACGAACGAAAACCGGTCAGGGAGATTGTCAAGAGGCTGACAGCAATACTGAAGGTTCTGCAGAAAATTCAACCTGGCTGCTAGTACACGTAACAACAATCTACTGCCTTTCTCATATGTCAGGATATATTATAGTCTCAGCTATAATCAAATGAGAGATCAAATGTCAGGATAAAGTATTGCGATAGCTTTCCTCTCACCCATTTGCCCACTTTTTCAAACTCTGTCTCTATTACACCTTCATTTGGTTGCTGGAAATAAAATGAATGAAATGAAATCCTGAACTCTCCCTTCCACCCCTCCCTTTCATACACAGATGTTCCAAATAAAGAGGATATGTTGCATTGGTGCTGGCTATGTGGGAGGCCCAACATGTAGTGTGATTGCCCAAATGTGTCCAGAGATCACAGTGACTGTGGTTGATATCAACGACTCCCGAATCAAAGCCTGGAACTCAGACACGCTTCCCATATACGAGGTATGGGGTCAACTTTATTTCATGGTGCAGTGCAACTTCCAGAGTTGTAGATACTACTTTCACTTTTGCTATAACAAGTTGTGCTTTAACTGCAGACTCGGAGTTTTAATTTGAGGTTATTTATATTGTGGGGGCGGGGGGGAGGACTGGGGACATGGAGATATGTTCAAGAACATATGGCACAGTAGGAAGGCTGCCTCATTCATGTCGGACTATCTGGATCTCCAAGTCTGTGCCTAAATTGATCTTAACACTTTTGTATAGGTGTAATAGGTTTCGCTGTAGTGGTGCCCCTCTCATGAATTCATTATTTATGATTGATTGTGATATTGTATGTTGATGTGTTTAAAAAAACATTGTTGGAATTGCACTGTCATTGTCGATAATTCCACCTGGTTAGGCACTTAAAAATACTTTGCATGTTTGTTATTTTAAAGCTCTGAAAGGGATGAACAGCATTCATATGGCTTTTAAGCATATTTGCTGTTATTTACCCTTTTGGATAAATGTAGTAAACATACCTGTACTGGTGACAGTACTTGCAAGTACTTCTTTGCTTTTGCTAATACGTTTTTGGACTCGCATTTTGAACTGACCAGCCAGCTGATTTTTTTTTTTCAGTTTTTTTTTCCAGTTCTATGGCCATCGCATTAATCTTGCCCCTCTGTAGTTGTATAACAAAAATGTAAAAAGCCAAAGGAGAAAAAAATAGGTAATCCTTTAGAGGCTCAATGATCTTAAGTCTCACAAGATGAGCGTTTGGACCCCCAGATTTTGTTGGTTGAACTCCAAATTGTACGACTTTATGAGCGTTGGACTGTCTTGGGTAAAAGGTGTGGTATCAAGAGCTATACAATAACCCGCTTGGTGAGGTTTAAATATTCGTCATCCAGGTAAGTGGCATGCACGTCAACTGCTGATAAGGAGCATTTGCACGCCAAGCTTCCTTTGCCTTTATTGCCTTACCCGATGTGAAAGGTTTCAGCTCATTGTGGTTGCTAGGTGTGGTCAGAAACGTTGAGCTGGACAGAATTTTAGAGGGGCTTCGGTTGAGTAACTGTCAGCATGCAACCGTTTGTGACCAGAGTATTTCAACACTGCGCTGAAAAAAACTGTTCCAGATGGCTCATTGTTGGAGTTAGATCATCATGACGAGTGTGCGGTTGTTACGCCCCAGTTCATAAAAACGATCTTTGTTTCTCACCCCACAGCCTGGCCTGAAAGATGTGGTTGAATCATGCCGAGGGAGGAACTTATTTTTCTCCACAGACATTGACTCAGCCATCAGGGACGCTGACCTTGTTTTTATCTCTGTGAGTTTTCCATTCACACCCATCCAAACACACACAATTCTCAGCATCTGCACTTCAAACTAACGAGAACCTCAATGTAGGTAAACACCCCCACCAAGACCTACGGCATGGGGAAGGGCCGTGCCGCAGACCTCAAGTTCATTGAAGCCTGCGCTCGGAGGATTGTGGAGGTGTCTGATGGCTACAAGATTGTCACAGAGAAGAGCACTGTCCCCGTGCGAGCTGCCGAGAGTATTCGACGGATCTTTGACGCCAACACCAAGCCCAGCCTCAACCTACATGTGTGTATTATTAGTATTTATTATTGTTGCAAGTTGGTCTTCTGCTCTCCTATGTTCTCACGATACACCTCTGTTTTAGGTGCTGTCCAACCCAGAGTTCCTTGCAGAGGGAACGGCAGTAAAGAATCTGAAAGAGCCCGACCGTGTCCTGATTGGAGGAGATGAAACGGCGGAGGGTCAAAAGGCAGTCAAAGCGTTATGTGCCGTGTATGAAAACTGGGTGCCCAAGGCCAAAATCATCACCACCAACACGTGGTCGTCAGAGCTGTCCAAACTGGTGGGTAAATAATAATTAGAAATAATAATAATAATAATCATCGAATTAAAGTGGGATATAGCGTGGTAGTGAGTGGTAAATATGTCTGCCTCACCATTCTGAGATTTGTGTTTTGAAACTGTGTTCCTGCATTCCTGACAGAAAGTCTGAAATTGTAGTGAGTAGTGATAGATGCTGGTTCACATTCTCCTCCTTAGAATCTTGATAAGAGCTGCTACTTATTTATCATTTTGTGTCACCTTCGAATAACTTGGTGTATGCAGGCAGCCAATGCATTCCTGGCACAGCGAATCAGCAGCATCAACAGTATCAGCGCGCTGTGTGAGGCTACCGGGGCTGATGTGGAGGAGGTCGCCACGGCCATTGGCATGGACCAGCGAATTGGCAGCAAGTTTCTCAAAGCCAGCGTGGGTAAGAGAGGCTGCGCCATGAACTTTTTGAAACGTGAAATTAAGAAAAGTTTGGCGGTTTTGTGGAAGCGTAATATTCACAGGCAAGTCTCATTAAATGTTTGAGGTACAACAATCACCATGCAGGGCATCACGTTTTACTTTTTTATTGGCGTGTCTTCAACACTAAATAGGGCCGGTTTCAACAGGAAACCACTTGTTGATACATATTGAACAATAGCTGAACCTTGACCTCTGATTTTCAAACTATTTATCCATCAATTTGTTGTTTATATACAATAATAAACTGAGCTGGGTTTACAGTCATAAAGGCCTTCTGATGAAAAGCCATAAAAACAATTATGACATGTGATTAAAAATGGGTCACAGATCAGCTGCAAAGTCTCTTGGAATCTGTTCTGTGACGTGGGCCGACTTTGACGTTCTTCAAATGTGGGAACAATTTTTCCAAATTGGAAGAAATAATGCGGCCAATTCGATTGTTGCAATTATAAAGCCTTTAATCATTGTACACGTCTTGTATCTCCTCCAGGTTTTGGTGGAAGCTGTTTCCAGAAGGATGTGCTCAATCTGGTGTATCTGTGTGAGGCCCTCAACCTGCCAGAGGTGGCCTCCTACTGGCAACAGGCGAGGACAGCAAAGCTTCTAATTGTATGCTCTTTATGCCTCTTGGAAGTAATTTTATTCTTATCCCCCCAATCCCATCAGGTGATAGATATGAATGAGTACCAAAGGCGGCGGTTTGCCTGCAGGATCATCGACTGCCTCTTCAACACAGTGACAGGCAAAAAAATTGCTCTGCTCGGTTTCTCTTTCAAAAAAGACACAGGTGACACAAGGTCCGTTCCCTACCTACGCCCTTGTATACGTTCATACGTTAATCATAAACTTGCTATTGTACGTCTGTGTTTGGAGAAAACTGGTTCTTTCAACCTCAACACATATTAACTTTGGAAGTACAAGATTCTACTGCCACCTTCTCTGATCACTTCCTGCTGTGTGTGTGTGTGCAACCTCAGAGAATCATCCAGTATTTACATATCCAAATATCTGATGGACGAAGGGGCCAAACTATTCATCTACGACCCCAAAGTTCTTAAAGGGCAAATCATTCAGGACTTATCTCATCCCAGCATCTCAGAAGACAAGCCAGAAAGAGGTAAAAGTATATGCTACGTGTGACGTTGGTGTCTGCTAAAATGCACTGCACAATGGATTATCTCCTTTAATTGTAATTATGGAATCGAATGATATCATCAATTCTGTCCTCCTGCTTACAGCAATATGTTGGCTCATAAATATCCATTACTGTAATAACTAACTGGAAAATGCTGACTCAGTTTCAGAGCTAGTGACTGTGACCACTGACCCTTACGAGGCTTGCCAGAGCGCACATGCTTTAGTCATCTGTACCGAGTGGGACATGTTTAAGGTCAGTAATTTTTTTTTTTTTTTTTTACTTGCTGCCTATAATTAAAAAATGTTTAAAAATAGTTTTAGTCACCCTTTTCATGTCACTAAAGGAGCTGGACTATGAGAAGATTTACAAAAAGATGCTGAAGCCGGCCTTTATATTTGACGGTCGCAGAGTGTTGGACCACCTTCACGCACACCTCCAGGACATCGGCTTCCAGGTGAGAAACAAGTCAGGCACTGCTGCATTAGCATGATAGAATGCAGTACAACCTCTGAGGTTCAGCACACTCCACGGAAATCATCCAATTCTAAACTGTCACCATCTTAAAATCATCATGTCAAAATATGCCATATAACTGTTACAGGTGAGCTTAATTTGACCTTCTCTTAACTTTTGAATCGGCCTGTCCAACTGTTTAATGTCAAGTCAAATTTAATATGCCATATAACTGTTACAGGTGAGCTTAATTTGACCTTCTCTTAACTTTTGAATCGGCCTGTCCAACTGTTTAATGTCAAGTCAAATTTAATATGCCATATAACTGTTACAGGTGAGCTTAATTTGACCTTCTCTTAACTTTTGAATCGGCCTGTCCAACTGTTTAATGTCAAGTCAAATTTATACATATATAAATCACCCTCTTCACAAGTCTCCTAAAGGGCTCCGAAAGCCCACAGCTGACAAATATTAACATCCCCTGATGTAATACCCATCCATCCATTTTCCAATCCGCTTGTCCTCACAAAGAGTCGCAGGCGTGCTGGAGCCTATCCCAGCTGTCTTCGGGCAATAGGCGGGGAACACCCTGAATTGGTTGCCAACCAATCACAGGGCACACATTGACGAACAACCATTCGCGCTCACACCCACACCAAGAGTCAATTTAGAGTGTATTCCATTATGGACATCCATGCATGTTTCTGGAATGTGGGAGGAAGCCGGACTACCCGGAGAAAACCCACGCAGGCACAGGGAGAACATGCAAACTCCACAGGAAGGCCGGAGCCGAATCGTAACCTGCACCTCTGCACTGTGAGGCGGGCGTGCTAACGAATCGACCACTGTGCCACCATTTCCAAATATACAGCTGTTAAAAACATGAGCTGCTACTGTAACTTCAACTAAATCTTAGTTTTTTTTCCTCTGCAGATCGAGACCATCGGAAAAAAAGTAGTGGCAACACGGATCCCCTATACCCCTGCTGCTGTATGTCCTCGCATTGAGGCCAGCGAGCCTCCGGCCAAAAAAGCCAAAGTCTAAAACTGTTGGCACGCAACACATTCCTCCCTCAACCTTTTAATTGGACTCTGTCAAATCCTGCCTTATCTAAAGCAAGCCATACCAGCCATGTGACTTATGACTCTGCCATAATAGGCTGACGAGTTCAATCTTTAGGCTCAAATTTTGACTTATCAAGTTATGGTTCAACCTGTCCAAACACACAAATGGTTTATTGAATACACTAGTATTAATCACGCAGTTTTTCATGTAGTTCAGCATGTCTTGCCTTAGTGTATGTACTTTTTACAGCCACATTCCAAATGTTTTTAAAACCTCTATTTTTTATAAATCATAATGCTGTATGTGGCCCCTGTATCTGACTGAAAAGGCCAATGCAATAAAATGTCAACAAGTCCTGAATGTGATGGTTGAATTCCAAAAATGTGTCAGAGGTTTTAATTAATCAAAAACTGAATTTATGGTACAATGGTATTATAAACGTAGACATCTGAAATAGGTGGCACTTGTGTAAAAGTGATAACAGATTTGAGTGCAAACATTGATTTACTCAGGTCAAGTAAATAATTATTGGTATCTCAAAGCAATGTCATTAAATAACTCCACATACAGCAGGTGTAGCAAGCCTTGAAGTGCTTCTTACAAAGAAAAGGTCCAGGAGAGTGGAGACAGAATACAATAAGAGGCCCCGGAGTCGCAAAATAAGCAGCAACATTTTCTCATCGTGGACAGTCGACATTCAGGTGGTTATCTGGATAGCCGCTGGCCTGTCCCTGCTCGCCTTCTCTTTAATCATCTCTCAAACGTCCATGATAGATGGTCCCAGTTTTTATGGAACCCCTCACCCCGCCCCTTGGCCTCGTTTACTTCACTCGAGTGTAAATATGCTTTCTATTCTGTATTGTGTGTTATGCTGTGACTTGAAGTAATGCATCGTGGCACTGGTATCAAGTTGTGTTTATAGACAGGGTTGCTGGTTTGTTGCTATTCATTCCGCCGTAACAGCTGCTGCTTTTTTCTTCTTCAGCAAATTCTTCAGGAAGAACTCTCCTGTGGAGATTGAGGAAGGCAAAGTAGTTAAGGTCATCTAACCCTGGGGTGTCCAAACTTAAGTGCTTGGGCCCTATTAGATTTTTAAAAAGTAGGCCAGGTCCTTTGTACAAGGTATGTATATGTCAAATAGTTTAATTTTAAAGTGATATCAAATCAATTTGTTTACAGCACTAATTTGTATTTTACTTGTTTACAGTAAAGCAACAAAATTAGGGGGTGGGGGGCAAATGCACCTTTTTTCGTAGAAAAATTACTGCTGAATTAATTCAGTCTAACTGAAAAGCATATTGATTACACAAGTATATTTTTGCTACAAAAAATAGCTTAATATTCATCAGTGTTAATCATGAACTCATTGAGCGCATTATTCATTTCCAGCAAAAATGTGCCATCATAATTTGACCCCTGTATAATGGATGCATTTCCAAGCCAGTTCTCACCTGCTTTGTAGGAGGATCGAACCAGCGGCCCACTGGCAGTATAGACAAAGCCCATGTCATTCCCAACTTTCTCCCAGTGTGCAAACTTCTCTGGTGTGATGTATTCATCCACCTAGGAGCGCACACAAATTGATATGGTTGATATGAATTCAAATGTGATTTGAAATGTTGTGGAGCGCACCTACCTTTAAATGCCGTTTAGTGGGTTGCATGTATTGTCCCAGTGTCAGACAATCCACTGCAGCTTCACGCAGCTCTGCAACAGCACCAAAACTGCGTCACGACCTTCGATCACGTCTTACCAAATACTGCATATTCCCAGTGAATGTACCAGTCAGTGTGTTTTGAATTTGTTGGTCAGTCTCTCCCAATCCGAGCATGATGGATGTCTTTGTAAGTAAAGCAGGATTGGCCTTTTTGGCGTGCTTCAGAACGCTCAGAGATTGGTCAAAATTGGCTCGAGGATCTCGGACATGCCTAGAATTAGAGAGGGGGACAACAAAAAAAGGCAACTATGTAGTCATTAATTATATATATATTATATATATATATATATATATAAAAACTGAAAGGTCTTAAAATAAACTCAGAATTTGACCCCAAAACTGACAATCTTTATAGTTGCGCAAATTTTTATTTTTTGACACACTCGCTCCTACATATAAACCATCAATGTACGCGATGTCATGATAGATGCCATAAAATTACAACATAACGACAAAGGAGTCATTTGTTTTTTCTTGGCCTTTGCTACAAAAGATTGAGCATGCTCAACAAGGGAATTTTTTTCTTTCCCCGTTTTTTTTTTTTGTTGTTGTACAACTATGGTTTGACAATTTTCAGTTGTGTTGCATTTTATTGAATTGTGTAAAATTAAGTACATTAATTGGGTAACAAACTGTCTTGGGACATGCCGCCCTGGATCCGTTTTGCTCTCTGTGGGATTCAGGTGCCCTGGAGGTCTCACTCCACAGGGTCCGCCTCTCTTACGTAAGACGTAAAGCACAACTTATCCTGCATGACTAAGCGGCTGTAGAAAACAGATTTTAAAAATGAAAAAGAATAACTTATGTTGTCCGACAAAAGCGTGCATCAGTCCTGAATATACAGTGTACGTATGAGGCATGTCAAATTGAGCGTTAGGTAGCAAGTGCACAATCAAGTTCATCCCATCGTGGTACCTTTGCAGCTCACGGACTGTCTCCACGTTGTGCGCGTATACATCCAGACCTGACAGGGCGATCTTCTCCACAGCTGCAAGGTCGCCCCGAAAATCAGGTGTCAGACATTCAACCAGGATCTGAGGGTTTCTGCATGAAGGTAATAAAATGGACGCTTTCATTTAGAACACACGTTACGACACCAGTAGCTTGGTACGATCTATCCCGGTGAAAAAGCAGAGATGCTGAGTTTGTTTACCTTTCCTTCAGGTGAGAAACAGTCTTGGCAAAATGTTCCGCTCCTCCATCCGCAATATCTACCCAAAATAAGGAGCAGATTTGAATACAGAAGAGACCACTGAAGTACTCTAATTCCAAGAGCTACATTTCCCTGTGGAGGTGCAGTTCTCGTGTCATTTGTTTTAATGAATCTGGCTCGTGTTCCAACTGCGGGCTATGAAAACCTAAGACGATAAGGCATGAATATTTCCTGAGCTTTAACCCATGTGGCTTATTTGCGCACATTCTTGTCAATTCTTTGTTTTTACCTTTTTAAAATCGAATGCACCTGTATTGAACCATTCTGATCTATATTTGAATCTGCTCTGCGTAAAGTCTCATGCTGACAATTCAATGTATTGCCCACCCTGCAGCCTTCAAGTTGAAGGTCGTTGACCTAGCCACGGAAAAGGCATGCAACCTGCAGAAGCCTGAAATTCCAGACCTTTTTTTTTCTTTTGCTTTCTCTCGTATTTGTACAATAAATGTATGAACAAAGTTTTTTTGTTTGTTCTTTTAGTAGGTGCTGCTTATGTACCATTGTGATTTGACAGTATCGAGAGTTGCTTTTAGTAACACAGGATAACGCGCGAATTATTTCAACAAAGATCATCACATTGGCAAACAATTTTATTCCTGCTGCATTTAATACAAATAATGACTCAATTACATAGTAGAATGTTTGTATGGTCTCCAAAAATATGAAAAGACTTCAATTTTTCGACCTGACATGCAGTCAACCAGCTTTGACATTCGCTTCTTGGATCCTATTTAGGAATTGAGGAGCCCATCTTACCATCTCTGTCCACAGATGTGAGCACCACATAGTCGAGTCCCCATGCTGCGATGGCCTTTGCAGTGTTGTAGGGCTCTTCAGGGTCCAGAGGTGGTGGCAGGCGAGCAGTCTTGACAGAACAAAAGCGGCATCCGCGCGTGCATGTGTCTCCCATCAGCTAGCCATTCAAATGAAATGACAAATTACTACGTAACAAATCAAAATGGTCCTGAAAATGCAAACAATTGATAATGGAAGTTGAAAGTAAAATGGCATCGTGCAACAACAACGAGTTTGATCCCACTTCACCACAAGTTCACTGCAACCTGCAGAGGTCCATTATTTACGCACGTTAAATCTTAAGTCCACGTGCACGCTGACAAAAGGTATTCAAAAGACAATTTAGTTCAGAGTGTGTGGTTTCTGTTGCTTTCACCAGCTTCTGATTTGCTAAGTATCAAACTGCCGGGGAAATATTTTTTATGTACAATAAATCAAATGTCTGTGGATGCAGATACTTTTAACTACTGAGCACGGAAGATGTATTATTTTTGAAAATAATAGCATGTACATAGGGCCTAAGTTGCATGTTACAGACTGACCATGATGGTGGCTGTAGCTGTAGAGTACTCTCCTCCTCCCCAGCATTCGCCAATGTTAGGACACCTGGCTTCCTCACATACCTGATGAACACACCAATTCACTCTTTGAAATGTGCAGATATGTGACAGCTTAATGTAAGCGTGAAAAAAAGTGCTGTTCTTGCTCAACAAGTTTCCAAGTTAACTGCGGTTAACTTTGTGTATCTTACGGTGTGAAGATTGAGGTCTCTCAAAGAGTTCTTCAGCCTGTTGTAGTTCTTCCCAATTGGGATTTCTGTCTTCAGCCAAGGAGGCAGCCGAAGCCTGCAAAATATTGACTTTTATAGCGCTGAGACAAGAATTCTCAATTGTGTGTGTTCTATAACTATATCTAACAAGACCACAGTCTTTCTGTGGATTAAAATTGACAAAACAAAATGAGTGAGAACAGACAACTATTTCTGAGGAAGGGTGAGCATTGATATTTTCTTCAGCACAAACAATACAGTAGAAAGCAGTACCACATATGCATTTCATTCTTCAAGACTTGCACATTGAAGACAATGGAAGGCAACATTATATTGATCCCTGCACATCTTGGTTACCACCTCTTCAAGCTAGTTCTCAGATAGGCACTACTGAACTATGCACACTATAACCAGACATTCCAAGAGCTTCTTCCCTCTCATTCAACAGTTGACGAATAATTCCATCATGGCTTTTTGACAGTTTTTGCCAATTCTCCACACCCCTGTGTGACAGCGAACACGCACGCACCTCTCGCCCTTTTGTCTCTTCAAGTTGCCTCTGTACTCTGCCCAGTTGTCTTTCTCGGATAGTTCCCCTGAAATGAAGTCCTGCAGCGTGGGGCCTTCATTATCGCTCAGTAGCACTTTGCTCCTGTCAGCCGTGTTCGGAGAGGACTTGGCCGCAGATGATATGCCGCTTGTGTAGCTCTGTAGGAGACAAAGGGAATGAATGGCTCAGATGATAACAATTTATACTCCATCCTCACGCGATGCACACCGCCTAGAAGATGTACGCAACCAAAGACGTCTTTGTAAACTTTGCCCTTGCTACTCGGCCGTTATGAAAACAGCAGCTCAGGAACTAC